ATAGATAGATAGATAGATAGATAGATAGATAGATAGATAGATAGATAGAGAAAATAGATAAAATAATTTTTAACTTCTAGGGAAAATACCAACACTGATAAAATAAACTGGATTGGATTTTAGTTTTTTTAATAAAATGTATACTATGCTTATTATTTTGTAAGAAAGTCCCCAGGGATATAATAAGTAGCATTCAAAGTCAGATATTTAATATTTTAACCTAAAATCTAGGGTACAAGATTTAGATCTTATTTCCCATCTGCTTAAATGGTTAAGTATAACAGTGTGAATGAGGACAGTATATCAGAAGACACTGACAGCCATCACCAAATTTTCTGAGATGGAGCCATTAGTCAACATCCAGAATACTCCAAAAAGAAGTAGAAAGTCTGAAAACCAGAGCAAGTATGGCTGATACTCAGAAATAGAGTGCTGTGGTACTGATGGTGCATCTCGGTGGGATATGTTGGACAAACAAACCGTTTTAAGAAGTGTGAGTCTAGAATTTAGAGCACTCAGTGTATCCTCTCTAGATGACACAGCAAGGCTGTAAAACTTTCATGGCAGTCTGAAGCTAGAGATTCAGCTTCAGGTAAGCTTTGAGATGGTGTCTTGGCAAGTGTTACCCCATCAAGGCTTATAAATCTCCAAAGGGAAATTTGCAAAAATAAGACAGAACGGATGATTACAAGGAAAAACAAAACACTGTGGGTATGCAAAGCACTCAGAATTCGAAAATCAAATATCAAATATCCAATTATAATAGAAATTGGATTACAGAACTCTGAGTAAAGTATCTAGTTATGTAAAGGGGATATAAGCCTTTAGCATTGATATTTTGTTTCCAGGATTCCAGATACATGGTTAACAAATCATTCATTTATCTGAAACATTGAGTCACTGAGTCTTTAAAATGAAGGTCAACTAATCATGATGATAGTTCTTAATTAATGTTGGATACTCTGCACCATGGCACCTTCTACCAGCTCCTGACCAGTGGCTCACAGCTCCATTCTCTTACTCCATCTAACCTACCACTAACTTTTCAGTAATCCTGGATTAAATTTGTTTGCCTTCAAACTGGCAACAAGTGTTCATCACCTCCTTGTACCATTGTAGTTACAGGAGTTCTGACCCGTTAGAATTTTCTCTCTAGGAATATGAAAACACACAAGAAACTTTCACACCAGAACATTTGTTCACTTTCTCTTTCACACAAATAACGTTAACCAAAATTATTAGTGCATGTTCTTCAACAATAACAATAAAAAATGTAGGTAATCTACAGGTTACAAATTTTCAGCTACTCTGTGTTGAGTATGGCAAGGTTGCACAGTTGCAATAGGCCAAGGGTTCCAACCACCAGTGGCCTTTGGCTTCGTATTCATTCTCTCTACTTCTCTGCAGTTTCTAGAGCCTCCTATCCTGCTACCCACTCAAGTCCCATGATCAGCCCTAGGCACTGCCCTATGATCACTAGACACCCTTCCTTCTTCACTCTTCCTGATTCCCTTACAAGGATACTTGAAAAGAACGATAATCAACTCACACTTAAAATGTGAAATTTTCAGATTGATGGTATTGAACTTTGTAAAAAATATTTTCATGTAAAAAGTTTAAAAATAAACAAACATTGGTTTCATTTTATTTATCATCCAAGTGTATGCATGTGTTTACATGTGTGTATGTGTGTGCATATGTACATGTGTGGAAGTCAGAAGCTGGCTTACATATATTTCCTGTTATCATCCTCTACTTTATCTTTATAGATTGGTTCTATCCCTGAAACATATGTACACATCATAGATTAACTGGCCAGAAAGTTCCAGGGAACTTCTTGCCTATATCCTTCCCCCTTCTTGCTTTTAGAATTACAGCCCATGCCCAGGTAGATCTCTTCACTATGTTACAGAAACACATGTAAGAAATTCCCCAAGAATCCTTTCAGCTAAGGCAAATGAACACACAGGTCTGTCTTTGTATTTCATGGAACAGACAATGCATAAAATAAAACAGAAAATAGTAGTCGCTGGTTTTGATTAGCACCTTTACAACACACATACAACACACACACACACACACACACACACACATCCTAAACCAGCTTACCTGCTTTTTGGTATGTTCATTGTATTCTCCAGGAAGATTGTGTGCACTTTTAATTAAAGTCTTTGCAATATGATAATAATAAATGCTGATGATAACAAGTGGTATGAGGAAATAGACAAGAAAGATGAGTACAGAATGAATCTTTGGGTGTAACTCATCTGTTTGTGGGTAAGGTATGCATGCTGTGAAACTGCTGTTATCTAAGCTATCAATGCGTGCTACTTCTGAAAACACAGCTTCAGGGACTGCCAGCAACACAGAGACCACCCAGATGCCCACGGCCTTCAAACTGGTCCACAGCACCACACCAGACGTCTGCATGTCCATGGGGTTTACGATAGCTCTGTACCTAGGACAAAAGTTTCAAGTTACTCTCTAGGAAGGAAGGAAGAAGAAAGGGAGGGATGGAATGAGGAAGGGAGGGAGGAAAGGATGGAGAAGAAAAGGGAGGGAGGGAGAGAAGGAAAGAGGGAGGGAGGGAGGGAGGGAGGGAGGGAGGGAGGGAGGGAGGGAGGGAAATAAATCTCACTGGCAATAGAGGTGTCAACACTTTTTCTTCCCTGGGCATTTCCTAACGTATGGAAGATACAAATTCCCTGGCATATCAGTGTCTACTATTCATTGCAGAGTGTTTTGGCGCAGAACACAAGTAGAGAAAAGAAAATATTTTAAAATGGATTTTTCTGAGTGGTGGAAAATGGCTCTTTCACAATGATTTTATCTTAAGTCAATGTACAGTATTTGTATCATTTTTTCATTGAATATGACCAGCTATTAGATTCTTTTATTTAGATGCTTTCATTTCCAGCCTATCATTATAACTGCTATCTAAGGAAAATAACTGAATTATTAAAGGTTCACAAAGCAATGCATTTGAATCCTACCTTGATTATATCCTCATAGCTTCAATGATTGGGACTTCAAACATTTTTCCTTAACATTTTCCTAATCAACAAACCCTAGACATATGTACATGTGTGGAAGTCAGAAGCTGGCTTACATGCATTTCCTGCTATCATTCTCTATCTTTATAGATTGGTTCTGTCCCTGAAGCCTCTCTTCTCATCTCTTGTGTATTGGTGGTAGGATCAGGTGGTACAGGACTCACATTCGGAGACACTGTCTGTGTCTTAAAGCCTAACTCATCATGGCCACCTCCACATTTTGAATGAAGTTGTGAAAACTCAAGCAAACAAAATTGTACAAAAGCAAGTTATATTTATTTTTAAAGGTATTTGAAAGTATATCTAAGAGATAAAAAAAAAGTAATTTCAGTCAGACTAATTTGTTATTATATGTGATATCATTTAGAAAAAAACTTAAGTCCTTTTTACTTTCACTGTGAAGTATAGATAAAAAAATCTCCCTTTCAAGAATTACATATCTTTTTTTAATATTTTATTTATTTACATTTCAAATATTATCCCCTTTCCTAGTTTCCCCTCTGGAAACTCCCTATTCCATCCTCCGTTCCCCTGCTTCTGTGAGGGTTCTCCCCCTCCCATGCACCCATTCCCACCTCCTCATCATGGCATTCCCCTACATTGGGGAATCTAGCCTTCATAGAACCAAGGGCCTCTCCCATTGATTCCAGACAATGCCATCCTCTGCTACATATGCGGCTGAAGCCATGGGTCCATTCAACTCTTTGGTTGGTGGTTTAGTCCCTGGGAGCTCTGGGCACTCTGGTTGGTTGATATTGTTGTTATTCATATGGGGTTGCAAATCCCTTTGGCTCTTTCTCTAACTCCTGGATTGGGGTCCCCGTGCTCAGTCCACTGGTTGGCTGTGAGTATCGACCTCTGTATATCTATTGACTGATAACGCTTATCAGATAACTCATAAGGGCAAATTACCAAAATACATAAATAAAGAGGCTAAATGTAAATTTTTAATTGAAGAGGATGACTAAGACATAATAAATCTCTATAATGAGTCTTCTTTTACAGAGCTAAGGACCACAAAGGATATTCTCAATGCCCTTCATATTTTTAAAAAATAAAAGGAAGATGCCTCTCTCCATAACATACCTGATAATACACTTCCAGAGACTTAGTCATAGGTAATTTAAAATACTAAATGACAATTCCCTAGATTGGATGATTTATGAGCCTCAGAAAGTTATTGTATGGTCCGGAAGGGTGGGAAGTCCAGAATGAAGGCTTTGACAGATTCAGTGCCTGGTGAGTATCTTTCCTGCATGGGAGGCGTTAGATCCAAAGCGGTTCCCCAAAATGACAGTGCTGGTGACAGTGTTCTAAACAGAAGGACCCTAACTGGGTAAACAGAAGGTTTTATTGGGTAAACAGGAGCCTAAACTCAGCATTCCTCAGGACTCTTTTAAGGCTGGTTTCTGTTACCAGGAAAGCCGCTCCCTCCCTTCTCCCCTAACAGTCAACTCCCTGCATCTCACTCCAGATCCGATCTGTCTGAGCATCCTACTCTTCTCAAAGAGGCCATCATCCCATCATCGTGCTGACTGCAGTGTAAAGCCTGCTTGCTTTCCATGCCAGCTGCTACCCTCTATTCTCAGAGGCACCCTGGCAGCTTGTTCCCCTAAAAGGCTTCCTTTCTACCCACAGAGTGGTCCAGTTGGTGGTTTCACTGTGCCCTTGCTCACAGTGTCTTCTACTGGGTCCTTGTCAGGTACTTCTCACAATGACCCTACTCTCTTAATAATACCCAACTGAGTGAAAAAACAGTAGTGTAACTCCTATAAACAAAGAATTATAATACAAAACAGCAGATTATGAAAGCTATCAGTGCTGTAACATAGTTCACAATTATTGAGTGTTTTTGTTTGTTTGTTTTTCTCTGGAGACAGAAATGCTAGAAAAATACCAGGATATCACGTATGCAAGGCAAGCAGGCACTCTACCACTGATCCATAGATCCAGCTGTAAAAGAATATTAATGTGGCAAGTGTATCTTTGGAAGTATATAAAGAAATAAGTAAAGCCATTTAATGCATATTAAAGTAAGCATGTTTTATCATGCTTTCTTCAGATATTTGCATAAAACATGAGAAAGATGTCCCTCAGCATAAAAGCTATTTAATTAAACTCTGTAGCATAGCAGATATGCAAAATGTTACATTTTCTCTTACAAATAGTCTCAGAGAAATATTCCTAATTGAAAACTGAATTCAAAAATTATCAATCAAAAGGCAGATATAGAGATGTATAATCATCATTCATTTATTAAGCATCAATGAATATTGACTTACTCATCAATATGAATCTCATTTATGTCTGTATATGATATAAATTTAACATAAATATAAAATTGAATTTAATCATAGTACAAAATAATTAGATCATTTTTACTTCTTGCAAAAATCATCAAAACATCTCGAAATCTGCTTCTTTAAGCATGCCTACTTAAATTTCCCTCTTTCTGCTTATCAGGCTTTATTGTGCAGAAAGGAGGCCAGCAAAAGTCCAGGTGTGAACCATATGTTGACAGAAGCAAAGCTATTTCTCATTATTGCTTCTCTAGTGTACAGAATGCTCAGAGCACACCGTGACTTCTCAGGAAATCGTTGTTGGCTTGAGTAATAAGGACATCATTAATGAGGAGAACTTTCGGTGAGTGGAGCTGTTCAATACTGGGTTAGGATAAAACGGTGGTGTACAATGGAGACTGTCTAGTGCTGTCCAATGTACAGCAACTTTAGACTCATCTACGACCTCTGTGAAATGAGGAGGATAGACTGGGCTTTTCCAATGATTAAATGATACAGAGTCTGTAAGATGAGAATTGAGAGATTCTGCCTTTACTTATATTTTTCAGACCTGCACCGTAAGTCATGCTTAGAAACAATTTTCAACAGGACTGATGCAGCTCTGGGCATTTCTGCCTCAGGCTTCTTGCAAGCTGTCCAGAGTAGGGGGGTGCACAATCACACTGAATTTCTGGAAACAAAAGACGTCTGTTATTTAGAGAAGCAGATGCCTTCTCTTAAAGCATCATGTCATGTTGAAACTATTAGTTTTTTTTTTCTAAATAGGCAAACAGTAACTTAGGAACATATGTTTTGTATTATTCTATCATACCTTTCCGAGTAATATATGTATAAATAAAGGCGACAGTGAAGACCCAGCTGCAATAATATCAGCCTGGCACATTCCCTTCTTACCATGTGTGACACAAATAAACAAGTAATCATGCAGCTATAACTAAGTTAGGGAATCAATATTAATACTCAAGAACAGCACAGTGCATCTTAAGTCAATGATGTTCCTTCTAAGAAGGAGGAAAAGAAGCAGTCTAGAGGTGATTAAAATCAATTGAGTAAGAGACATAATATAGAATATTTTATTTAATAATAAAGTAATAAATTAGGTGCAGAAATTGCAGTTCATTCTGTGACTGTGACTCTGTAAAAATCACAGCTGGATACATACTATAAGAGGTAACTTTTCTTTTAGAGATAACAATTCAAAAGCTCTCAGAAAACATAATTACCTATAGTGAAAGTACAGTTCACCCTATATTTGTCCATTTTCATTTTCCCTACACTTGTTCTCTTCCCTTTTTATCTTTGCTACATGTTATTCACTTTTTTTTTTAACTTTTAAGCTTCCAACAAAAACCAAATTGAAAACAGTCAAGGTACTCAACGGTCCAAAAAAGGCAATGCATCCATATTTATCATTATAATGAGAGTATCATGATAATCCCATAATCCCCCTGGTATGCATATGATGGCCTCAAAAAGTTCTAAATACAGGAGGCTCTTCAGTCTTTGGCCTATGATGAAGGCGAACTTACTTTTTTCCATGACAATAGACTGGAAAACTTGTTTGAAAGAAGCTAAAGCTCTGAGTCTTGCTATTAATCCCATACTTTAAAAATTATGCTGATCTGATCCTTTCTTTAAAAGGATGCTTGGTGTAGATTTTACTGATGGTGCTTGCTAGATATTGTGTTTTATTCTAGTTAAGTTTGTTTCTTTAATGGTCTGATTAAATTAGGTCACGTGAAGGAGAGCAGGCAAGCTTCAATATCATATCATAGGTTAGCTTTGAAGTTCAGATAAAACTTTTTAAAAGATAATAGAACTGGTGCTAAGGAGGCAAAATAAGGTTCTTAAGGTATTTAACAATTTTAATCACTTTTCCATGAGCATTTAAAATGAGCACATTTTATAAAATAAGTATCTACTTAACAACAATAAAAGGCACTCAAGTGAATATTCTCTTACTTCCAATAAACGTTAACTCTTCAATTCCAAATTAGTATAAGGACATTATAACCAGTGCCAAGAAACTCAAATCCAGACTCATTAATAATTCAATATGCAAATTAATAAGGTGAGTGAATATTATTTTCTAGTTAAATTGTTTAGGACCTACATTATCTGAGCTTCAGGATCCTCACATGGAAAATGACAGCGTTGAACCAAATGATCTGCCAAGTAGCATAATGGGTATATCACATTGCTATATAGTATAGATTTTTTAATGAAGGTTGTGTTCATAGCACTGTCTTAAGACGTTAACATTTAGCATTATGGGGGATCACTTGATTTCAACAAGAAATAGAAGACCTTAATATTTTTAAACAAGACATGAGAGTCTATTTTTGAAGAACACTTATTATTCTAATGGTTTTCCTTAGACAAATATTTACTTCACACTGTAAATGGTGCACAGGCTGAACTAAGCATCTTCCTGAAGTTAAACTTAGTGTTCTAACATAGCAGAACACCTCCTTACTGAATCAGTAAAGTACACTGTGCAGGTTTGTATACATGGAAAAAGAAAAAAAAATCCCAGGAGACAATTGAATTTTAACTTCTTTTATGTTGTAGATCTTCTGTGCATAGTAAGGTTCCCAAAGTGGAGGTGGGGGGTGGGGATGGAATACAGGCAAATTTAAAGTTGGTGGAATTTAAACTGTTATTTAAATACTTTTTTGTAATCTTAAACTCCACTTCTCATTATGCTTTAGTTGGACTTACTAAGCTTTCCTTACATACATATAAGTTCCTTCCCCCACCTCTGTCCCCAACCTTTCCTAACATCCTTTCCTCAGCTGGCACACTCCAAAATTCCCAGTCATCCTAGCTCCATGTTCCTGTTCAGGTCTTTTCTAGTCTGCCTCTTTGCTACCTGTATTTTTTACCTGTCTGCGCTGAGGGCCGTGAGAGTGAACACGGAAACCCCCACCGAGGTGAGCTGGATGGCCGGGATGAGTTTGCAGCCCAGCTTGCCGAACACCCATTCATCAAAGAAGTAACGGGAGGCGTCCACTGGGACGCAGGTCAGCAGCAGCAGCAGGTCCCCAGCCGCCAGGTTAGAGATGAAGATGTTGGGAACACTCCGCATGGCGCTGTTGGTGAGGAATATCTTCACTAGCATGATGTTGCCCAGCAAACCCACTGAAATGATGATTAGGTAGAGGGATGGTATCACACAGCGGATCACCAACTCCGCGGTGGTCCCATCCGAGTCAGGCAGAAAATCCTTTTCCCACACCTCGGGTTCCAACTGGCTCTCATTCGCCTCCGTGGGAAAGGAGAGGTTGGGGAGAGACCTGGGGGGCATGGTTCCCTTTCCCAGGGAACTCGCAGGAGTTTTAATGCACTCGCGTGTCTCCGAAGCGCAATGAGCACGACGTGGGTTTAGTTAATTTGTCTCTGATTCTGGCAAGTTTGTGGCTCCTGGGACTGAGCCACCGCACCAGTCCTGCAGAGAAGTCTGTGCGCACTGCGCTCCAGAGCTTCACCCTAAGAGGTTCCCTTCACTGCCGCTGGTTTGCGATTTAAATTCAAAACAAAAAACGAAGCAGTGGAGCCTTTATTCTATCTTTAAGGCTTAGTTTCCGCTGTTAGCAAGCAGGAGAACAAAGGTCAGTCCCTGTGGGACACAGAGCCCTACCTGCCTAACTGGTCCATCTCCCAGGAACGGAAGTCGTCCAGGAGCTGCATGGCAGTTGAAAAGCCGCCACAATTGCGGGGCCTCTTGCGTTTCCCCCCGCAGCTTTGCTCTTCTCTCTGCCGTTCCTGTTGTACAAGTGTGTGGAACTGAAGAGTGGCTGAATCTGTTTTCATTCTGTGTTCCCATATACATCCATCCTCAAGCGACTCCAAGCAGGAGGAGCCCACGCAGGAAGTTTGTGAGCCTTTGAGGATTGGAGATCTGAGCTGGCAGGTCCCCAGTGCTGACACTGAATTTAGCAAGCCAGCCAGGGACAAAAGATTCCTCTGTACTCAATTCTGTCATCCTCTGACTATCTCCACCCCAAGCCTGGAAACTCTTTCCTACAGTTGATGCATTTTAAAACTTATATTCTATTGTGATACAGAGTAAGGTGGACATCTCTTAGATGTATGCTTTACTATCAGGACATTCTAGTAGAAACCAGCATTATGTCTGCCTTCACCTTAGTTGGCTTTCTCTTGAGGATCACAGGGATAGAACTTTTCAGGATACAGCCACCATCCGACTTCTCCCTCATACATCTGTGGGAAGTACACGTTTTGAGAGGAGCAGATATGTTGTTTTGGCCATCTAGAAACAGATTAACTGTTACCTATCCATTCTCATGTTCACTAACATTTACAAGGTTCACAACTTTAGCTGATCTAAATTTAATTTCTATGAACATTTTTGCACATTTTTCTGGTGCACATACTTGCATAAATTCCAGGCTTGATTTTACTAGTCTCAGAGCTCATGTACATGATATAAAACTTGGAGGGTTTTTTAAAAAAATATTAATCAACTCACTTTTCCTTTCATAATAGTGTGATATTAATACTATTTCTGTGTGTGTCTGTGTATGCCTATAGTTAATAATGCCAGTCACAAATTTAGACATTTAAAATCTAATACATTCATTTTCTGAAGTGTGATGTTATATTTCACCCAGGGTGGTCTTGAGTTCTTGGACTCAAGTGATTGATTCTCTTGCTTCAGTTTCAGGAATTTGGAACTACAGGACCTAACCCTGCAGCCAAATTGACAGTTTAATAATCTGTCAATAGGAATAGCATAATTTTCTGAATAACCACCACATCAGAACTTAACAATGAAAGGACTTCTCAGGGCCAGTGAGTCAGCTTAGTGCATAAAGCAGCTGTAGAGCAAGACAGACAGACTGAAGTTATCCCTTGAGCCCATGTAAGGTACTGGAGGAGAAAGGCAACTGGAATGTACTGCCTTTGCATTCCACACTATACCTGACAAAACAAGAACAACAACAACAGCAAAATAATGATGATTATAAATAAAATATTTTAAACTGCCTAAATATAATGGCTCGCAATTAAACAAATAACAGCTTTTTCATTGGGGAACATGTGTATGTGGGTTTGAGTATTAAAAGGTAAAATTTAACAATTGGAAGTCAAAGATCACCTTTAATGACATAGCCATGAATTTATAAAATGTACACAGGTCCAAGCACACTTGTCAGTTAACAGGCTTTCAGCCACCACCTACCAAAAGGGATTTCACACAACAAGGTAGATATTGGTATTAAAATCAATTTCCCTAGCTCAATTTCAAGTCGTCTTTGTACTTCGCTGCTTAGTTCATTGCAACATTTAGACTGGCTAAATGGAATTCTCATGTACATTTCTTTCAATAAATAAATATTGTTTCTAGTTTTACACATTATACTTCTGTAAAATATTCAACATTACATATAAATTGAAATATGTCTCTAAAATTTTAATCTCCAAGGTTAAGTTTCTCTCTTAACATTCAGTCTTATTGTGCAAAGTAGATTTTTAAAGAAATCAAAATTTTTGAGAGGTCTCAAACTTTCCAGATGAGAGTATTCGTTTTATTGACTTTTTACTTTTTAATGTTTTCCCTCACAATAGAATTGTATCACTTGCACCCTTTAGTCAGTCCTTTCTGGTTGAGAGCCTCTTTTTATTTTATTATACTTATTATACACGTATCTGCACATGTATAAAAGTATGTATAGCTTGCTGAATCCATTTGTGTTGTTTGTGTGTATATTGGGTCAGGGATGACCAGTCTCCAGTGGAAAACCAATAAGGGGGCTTAACTCTGATAGATGTTCATTGTGCCTCTCCCAGTAACCATTAGTTGCTTGTAGTTCTGTCTAAGGGTAAGACTCTGTGATATTTCCCCTTTCCACTAATATTATTTCTATTGATATTGCCATTGTAGTATCATTTGTGCAGCCATTTTTAGGAAAGACAGCTTACAGAAAGAAGACTTCCTGATATTCTGGTTCTAAAATCTTCCTGACTCTTCTTTCTTAATGTTATTTAGGGCATAGATGCAGGAGTTGTGACATGTGTATCAACTAGGACTAGGCTCCCCATGATCTCTGGATTGTGTCCAGTTGTGGATTTCTGTGATGGTTTCCATTTGTTATGAGAAGCTTCTTTCATGGGAGTAGAAGTGGTTGCTACTCTTATCCATGAATATAAGGATAAGATTTAGAATACAATATGGAATCAATGCTGATCTATCACAGTGGTGACAGTAGAATCTCCCTAATCCATGACCTCACTACACCAGAGAAGCTGGCTAAGTTAGTACCAAGGATGATTTCTCTTCCCTGAGTGAGCCTCAAGTCCAATTAGATAGCTGTTGGTTGTCATATACATGTGAAAGTTACTTCTTAGCTTGACTAATATCTTACCACGCTGGTAATTGTCATGGCGTATAGATGCTACAGCTGGATAGGGCTATTGAACTGACTTCTTTTCTTCTTAGCCTACATAGTATTTTCTGGAACCAAGGAAGCTATACCACAGAAAAGAGACTATAAGGTCAGTTCCAGGTCGTAGTATCAATCAAAGTTGAGTATCCTAAATGTGTGGTGTCTTCAGCAACAGGGGCCCACACTCAACCCTTAACACCTGAGAGGCAAACAAGAAATATATATACATTGTTCATACACACACACACACACACATATGTATATAAGCTATATTGCTATATTGTTTTGGAAATCATATGGACTACTTTGACCAACCCGATGAAAGGAGATTTCTTTTGTCTGTTATTCTGTCAGTCTATAGTTATCACTAAATATGTATGTATATGAAAGTATATGTGAAATGAAAGTATTGTATAACTTTCTTTCTTTTGATTCTCTGTATGATCATAACCATTAGGATGAGAAAAGTGTTTAGCCCAAAAGCTGTGTTAACAAATATCCAAATAAAGGGATTCATACAAAGAAGACATTTGTATTGAATGATATTTTTCATTTTGAATAAATCTATCTATATATTTACTTTGAGGTTAAGGTTAATGGTAGACAAGATTATCTGAATAATGATAATTTCACCATCTGAATAATGATAATTTCATTATGAAAAATTTTAAATGACTACAACTGTGCAACAACTATTAGATGCATCACAAAATTCCAAATAAAATATGGATACTCTCTAACTTTTCAACATATATCAGAAATAGGCATGCACTAAAGGACAAACTGTTTATTTCATTCAATGTGCCATACATCCCCTGAGATTCATATTTCATTGATAGGTATAAATAGTCTTTGAGGTAAGCATTTAAGTATTATATTTTACTGTAGACAATTAAATGAGTGAGGTAAGATGTGCTTAATTCTACAAACATCTCGATAAAACTGTAAAGTTGAAATTAATTCTATGAGTTCAATGTCTGTTATATTTCTTTGATCCTAAAGGAAAGAAAATAACATGGATAAAACTGTTAGTGATGGGTCCCTGGGTAAAGTGTGTGCTGTGTAACCATGAAGAACAGAGTTCAGAATACCAGTATATGTGTAAAACCTGGACGGAAGGCATCTGTCTGTTGCATCAGTAGTAAAACAGAGACAGACAGATCCTGGTGTATTCTTGAAGGAACAGTTTAGTCAAAGCAGAATATTCCAGTTTTGATGCAAGTTCTTGTCTCAAATATTTGGAGAGTGATCAATTAATATAACTGTAAACCTCTAGATACTCATATACAAGAATGTATACACACATACACTCACACACAAATACATACTACATATAAAACACAAAAATAATTAATAAAAATTAAATGAAATTGATAGATAAAATGCATCACTAAATATAATTCCTATATAAGTAAAAGATGAGGTTTTAACCATGATGTATTGAGTCCTCATGAAACACGCATTGTAGGTTTTACTTCCCCAATACAAAAAAATATAAAGAACCATGTCCTTGTTTCAAATCCATTATATAATTAGTTTACAAGTGAGTTAAAACAATTTGAAACTTATATTTCTTTCATAATCTTTATCTCTCCCACTGTATATTCTTTCAAAGTATTATGAAGAAGTCAAATGTTATAAATATTACATATTATAACATTTTACAGATTCCCACTTAAAAGCATTGGAAACACAAATATGTCTACAATTATTATGGCTATTTAATAATTAGAGGCTCTTATAACCAATGTTATAATAACAAAAATAAAAGTCTGAAAAAAACAAGATGGCGATACAAAGTTACAGTCCTCAAAGAACAGTGGACCTGGTGGCATAAGAATGAAAATCAATGGAAATGAACAGAAAGTTCAAAGACAACTTTGTCTACAAGAAAACATGTATTTAAAAATATGTTGCATACCAACAAACCACAGCTCCCAGGGTCTAAACCACCAGCCTGGGAGCACTTAGGGAGGGATGCATGGCTTCAGCTGTATACATAAGAGCTGAGGGCCCTGCTGGGCTTAGGTGGAAGAAGAGATCCTTGACCTCATGAAGGCTGGACGCCCCAGGGGGAGGGAATTTGAGGGTGGGGAGGTGGGAGTCGGGGGGTAGGTAGGGGTTACATCCACAGAGAAGAAGGAGGAGGGGTGAGGGGGTAGGGGGTTCCTGGGTGGGTGGTGGATGGGGACAACATATGAAATGTAAATAAAACATCCAAAAAAAATCAACAGCAT